CTCGTGCACAAGGCACCGCCATGCTGAGAGAAGGTGGCTCTGCTCCATGCGAGCTAACTCCCAAACTCGAACAAGTCTAGCCACCATAGTATGGCACTGTGAACAGACTGGTAAGCTTTGCCTTTGAGTGGAGCGTGTTTGTTGGTGGCTGCACAGCTTCTGGACCAGAAACCAGCATGCATGAGGCAGATGCAGTGGGCTTGGCACAGCACTGTCCTGTACAATGCATATGGGAAACGGTGGTTGCCTTCAACCTTCCCATCCCTCAAATTCAGCCCTTTGAAGGAATGCCCCTCCCTTTACAGAGCTGAATCCTTGTTAGCATTAGGGACATGCACAGCTACTGCTTGGGAACTGACTCGTTCCAACGGGTGACCGTCGAGGCCTATGAAATAGAAAGCTCGGGAGACGAGAACATGGTGCTGCCTCCGCCCTGTACTGACCTTCTGCACAAGGGGAAGTTTTACCCGCTGCCACTAAAATCAGTATAGGCTTTCCTCAAGATAGCAGTAAGGGTTTGACAAAGCAGTGTGTGTCAGGCCTGTATATCAAGACTGTCCAGTTGCATCTGGGCTTCATTGGAAGCCTGATGGGTACTCTCCAGTGGGTGTAAAAATAAGGTGCAGGTGATCGACTAAACAGTATGGAATTAGAGCATTAAAGGTGTGGGGTAAAATTTCAAAAGGGTCTCAGACGTAGAGTTCAAAGTCAAAAGATGCTTTTGCCAGTTCTCTCCTTTGACATGTAGGGGTTAAATTCTCATTGCACGTTAGTTTTGAAAATAGGACTTTGGCATTTCTTGAGACCCCTTTTCCTCATTCCAAACTTTGGTAGCAAGCTTCCCATGGAGGAGAGTGTGTTGTGTCCAACATGCAACTTCCATGCACGAAGAGAGGAATAGTGCTACACAGCAGAGGTATCAAACCCCCTCCCGTTGAGTTCAGTCTGTTCCCTGCCTCTCTTCATATCCTGAGTTGGTCTAATACAAATTAAATTGCAAGAAGGCAAGATGAAGACTGCTCTCAATCTTGCTTTTATTTGCAGGGGCATACCGGTCACAAAGGGGAGCCTGGAGAAATGGGGAAAGATGGTGAAAAGGTAAACCTTGAATTTATATATATATACACACACACACACCCCTCGAATTTATATAGACACACCTCGAATTTATATATATATATATATATATATATACACACACACACCCCCCGCGTATATATATACACACCCCTCATATATATATATATATATATATATATATATATATATACACACACACACACACACATATACACATACATACATACATATATATATATATTTATATACACACACATACATGCATACACACACACACACACATACACACATATATACATACGCACGCACGCACATACACATATATATATATATATTCTTTTCCTCTTGAAAAGCATAGGCTAAGGAATTTCTCTGAAGATGGAAGGACAAACTGGGCATTGGTTGGACAGAAAGGGGAAGCTTAGTATGGGATTGGGGGTGAAATAATAGAATACTTGCAAAAGTAGGGGACTGGATTTGATGTCCATGGGGACTGCTCCAGTCCTAAGATCCTCGGTTTGCATTTGAGGTGTGGATTAAAGAGCAGGCATCACTGGCCTCTGCTTTTTATGTCTACGAGAATATTCCAGTGCAAGAAGATTAATCGTTCCTGTGATGAGAGATGTTCACAACTAAAACGGCTGCTGCAAATTTGCACATGTTGTTGACAACTCATAAATAAAACCTGCACTGAGCACAAAAGTTGGGCAGATAGTCATCTCCGTGGCCTGGCCGACCACTTCTGTGACATGGAAGAAATTGCATGCAGCAAAGCTTGAGGCCACATAATGCATGGGGGTGGGGCTGGGGCAGCGATTTACAAGGAAGCTTAAGGTGGAGAAGATGCCAGGGGGAATTAATCCAAGGATGCAGGGCAGCAGTTGTCACTGGAACATCTCTAATTCCCTTCTGTTTCCTGTCCTTAGGGATCTCCTGGCCCTCCAGGTCCTCCAGGTATTCCAGGCACCGTTGGCCTGCAGGTAACATCTACCTTTCCAACCCAATCAGTAGCATTGCACCTGCAATAATCACCCTGGCTTTTGGTGTGAAACTGGAGTGTCTGCGGTGGTTTTTCTCTGCTGCCTTCGCAGCTCTGAGCTAGGGAGCTCTGGGTTCAAGTCTTCGTGACCTTTACTCATGTAAATGCTAGCGTGTGAGTCAAGCAAAAGACTGACTGTGCCGAGGCCCTGCTCTGATGATAGCTGAGGTCAATGGGAAGGCTCTCACTGACTTCACTGGGCTTGGTTCTGCCCCTCATAGCACTGCCATTCATGACTTGAAACACTGATGTGAGAACTACTGTCTGCCCCATCTCTGTCCCCCAGTTGCAGCTGGAAGGCCACGGCACATACCTGGGTGCACTCTCTGAGTGCCATCCCCTGGGGGAGGTCCCTGAGCATGAGAGCAGGATCTGGCCCTATGAGAATCCCACTTGTGTTGGCTCATCACTGCTGACCATGGTTTTTTTGCGGTGTTTTTATCTTCTTCACCATTGGGCAGGGGGCTGAACTAGATGTGACCTCCTGAGGTCCCTTCCATCCTCATTCTCTATGACTATTTTCACAATTGGTTGTAACTGGTAGCTTTTCTATTCTAGGGGCCAAGAGGGCTAAGAGGCCTCGCAGGGCCAGTGGGTCCAGTTGGGGACAGAGTAAGTAATGAGCACCTTCTCCTGATGTTCCCCCTTGTTAAATCCATGCAGCAGGCAGCGTTGGGGGAGCACCAAGGAGCACCATAGGGGCACAGACTGGAGGGCACCCTGTCCATACAGGGCACCCCTCGTGAGATCAGTGGCACTCCCAGTATTCGGGAAATGCTCCAAACAGAGGGGGCAAGCCGATGCCCTGCCAGGAGAGGGAGATGATAATGAGCGTTGCAGAGGCCATTTCACATGATGCCACTTGCATCTTCTTCCAAGCAAAAGTTGAAGGACCGTCAGAAAGACATGGCATTTCCCTATAGCTTCTGGTGCTGTATGGTCCAGGCTTTCGCCATCAACTTCATCAGAGGATTAGGCCCTTACTGAGTAATACAGCTATCTAGTCCCAAGGCTATCGACTTGAGGACTAAACAGTGGAGCTTGATGACATCGAGCCTTTCTGTAGGGACAGATGCACTATTAAGGCTATGAGTGCTATGAGTCTGTCAAGGAGAGGATGGCAAAGAGCTTATCTGGGCTTCATCCTCTATGCCGGAGACCATGAAGCATTTGGTCCTTTCCGGCTTTGTGCCTGCTTGCTCACCTTGTCAGTAAGTCAGCAAGGGATGCAGTTCGGAGTCTAGTCTAGGAAAGCTCTGATGGCATATTTTAACAAGGTCTTGTTGTTTTCAGGGAGATATTGGTTTCCGGGGGCCACCAGGAGTGCCAGGACCTCCAGGGAAAGCCGTACGTATCCATCTCACACCTTGCAGTCCTGTCCTGCAGTGCCACTTTTGAATCGTTAATGTTTGCTCTCGCCATGCCAGAGCCTCCGCTACCAGGGGCCAGTGTGGGATCATAGGACTCGAAGGGAACCCCTGGTTTTTACACCTAGTGCCGTGCTGCTGCCACAGCTACATCACACAATCCCTAGTGGGAACTACCCAGATATTGCCCCAGAAATATTGCACGTGCACTGCATCATCTTATCATTACTGCAGCCAGGATCCTAGACGCCTGCTGAAATCTGCCCTGCTTTATTGATTTAACAAAGTACTTCCAAGGTGCGAAGGGGGAGAGAGTCCCTGCACTGCGGGATTGTCATCAGAGCCTCAGGTGCCATGCATCCATATGTAAAGCACTGCAGAGTGTAACTGAGAAAGTACAGCAGCCTTTAATGTGCATCCTTCAACCCCGACAGTGCTAATTCCAGAGAACAGCTCTCAGGAAAGGGGGTGGGGGAGAGTCCATACTCATGATCCAGAAATGTCAGGCTCTCTCCTCAAGTCAGAGATGGTTAATGGCTTTTCTTTGGTCATTGCAGGGAGACCGAGGAGTAAGAGGGCCTCAAGGATTTCGAGGGCCTAAAGGGGATACTGTAAGTGCAATAAAACATTCCTTTTACTAAAAACACTGACTGGCCATTGGGAGGGTTTGTTAATAGTGTAGTGGGAGCTTGGCTGGTCTATCTTAGTGGCTTATCTGGTGCAAGGAAGACTTCTCCAGGTGGATTAGGTTCTTTGTGTCTCTGGAGAAGAGGCAGTAATGGACAGGAGTGCCAATTAGCCTGTCCTCATGCCACGTCACCTAGCCAGCCCTGATGCCATATAGTCACAATTATGCACCAGCTAGTTAAGGAAGCAGCCTGCCAGAAGCAGTGCAGGGTACTAGAGGACGCTGCTGCAGAGCGCAACATATCTATCATAGGCATGCATGGCTTTTGTGTCCTTAGGCAAATTATTGAACATGTCTGTATTTCAGTTTCCCCATTAACAAAATGGGAGAATGATCCTTATTGGGGATCAATGAATAGAAACCATTGGAGATGTGCAAAGTAGTGATAGCCTTATAAATCAATCACAGTATTTAAGATAAGCAAGAAGAGAGGCCTCAGGAAGAGCACTGTGATACCCAATAGCTTGTCTATGTCTGTGCCAACCGTACAAGTAGTCCCCTAAAAGATATCACCCACAAGTCTTCTTGCCTCTTGCCATACCTCCTGGACTACCACAGCAGTCAGGGGCAAACTGCCCTGAATTAGCTTTCACTTGCCATGGGATAGGAGTGGACACATGAAGCAGTTACTGCAGAGCGGCAGATGTCTGATAAGTCCCGCCTGACCCCAACTTTTAACTCAGTATAATTGGTTCATCTCTCCACACCTATAATCCTTAAAAGCAATGACAGGACCAAATTTAGAGGATGCATTTGAAAATATAATTCTTGTTAAGTAATTTAAGCTAAAGTGTCGGAGTTGCTTTGGAAAAGGGGATGTACCCACTTGTAGGCATTGGACGACTGAACAAGCAGTGCTTAAATGCTTCTAAAAAAGCCTCCATCCTTGCAGCTTAATTCAACATGTATCAAAGTCACTGGGAATATATATACCCAGTGACTTCTGTCTGTGTTGGGTCAAGCTGCTAGTGCTGCGTAATGATGAGCACGCTACAGCTTTTGTAGATCTGATGCTCCAGGCGAGCTAGTCGTGCATCTCTAGACAGGTTAAGCTCAAATTCAACCTGAGTCAACCCAGCCTCTGGGGTTTGCACATCACTGTAGTTTACTGCTCTGATCTGGGGCTGTTCCTCCTGATACCTTCAGTACTGGCTCATATGTTACTTGTTTGTTTCCAGGGTAGACCTGGACCAAAAGGAACGTCAGGAACCCAGGGGCCCATAGGAGAACCTGTAAGTCAGCCTTTAACAGTACAAGTCTCTCAGTTACCTTCTTCATGCCATGACTGTCCAGGTAATGATAGGAGAGATGCACCCCATTCCTGTTTTGACATGGTTTCTGCACCAAGGTAGATATTGTCAAGGTAACCTGCACCTGAGCCCATCTCTGCAACCCTTTTCGGCCAAATCCTGGTTCTGTTGCAAGCAATGGCAGGTCTCTGTCCAGCTTCAGCGAGACTGAAATTTGGCCTCTTATAGCTACGGGAGTGAGGGGTGGGGAGTACTTGTCTACCAGCTCCCTGAAAGCGTTGAAGGCAGCCTAGTCTGACCATCCACTTGCACCTATGCTTTCAAGAAAAAAAAGCAGGTGTAGGGTCAGCTGTGGCAGACGTTTATGCCTTTATTAAGGGCTACGCATTTGAAATTGTTATTCTTAAAGCATTTTAATAAAATCGCTTTTTTATTGCTTCCTTTATAAAATTTGAAGTGTCACCGTCAATTATCTGAAATTCAGTTTTAACTGAAGAATTTGTAAGGTTTTTTTTCCCGCAAGTAAGATCTGGATTGAGCTTTTATGATCTAGAACTTTTATATTTTTGTTAAGAGTAAGTGGTGCAGAATAGTCGATGGAAAATTGATGGAAACTTAAACCAGCATTGGGTTCAGAGGAACTAATAAAAGGGATTTCATAATTTATTCCTGAAATATTGATCGATCCTTACATGTTTTGGGACCTTTGTGTTGTGCTTTGTCACATGCTTATTCTGCATTGCATGTGTTTTCAGGGTATACCTGGGAAAGATGGTCGAGATGGAAGTCCCGGACTCGATGGTGAGAAGGTTTGTAAAATCCTACTTAAACACCACGTGCAGCAAAACTTTGGTTGCTCTCATAAGCTTGCTGCTCTTCTCAAAGAAGAGCAAATCTTGAAAGGTTTTGGTTCAAGAGTGAGCTTTTTCTGTGATGTTACTAAGTAACTAGAATAAAGTTATTCAGAAGGATCATTCCTTATCCCCATGACATAAAATAAATAGGCAAATAGAAATCCTTTCACTCTAACCACTTTTGGGGAAAGTACTATTAAGTGTTATGGTGCCACTTTAGGATTCAGATTTTTAAAGGAGGGCATGACATGACAGAGGATCCAGAGAAAAGTAGACATCTTGACTTGGGGGAAAGAAAGTGAGATCCTTCAACGTAGAAAGTTGTGAATGGGAATTTGAAGCTCCTAAATGAGTTGGACACCCACTGATGGTCAAGGTGAGTTGGGTACCTAGCCAGCTGCTTTTGAAGTCTGAGGCTTTGTGTGCAAACAAGCACTGTCTTGTACAATCACCCTTCTTGCATCTTTAATTGCCCGCTCATTTGCACCCACATTTTATACAGACACAATAAATGCATGTGTTTTTGCAGGTGTGCTCCTGTTAACATTAGTCCTAGGATGTATGAGAAGTGCCTGACTGATCATTTAATACTCCTTTGATATCAGTGTAATGGCATTGATTTCAGCTGAGTTGGGGGGGGGAGGGGTTGTTCCCCATTGATTTATACTCAGGTGTCTCACTCTAAAATTAGGCCCTAAATCAAAAGCTGCAGTGAGTAATTTTAGACCTGAATTTGATCTCACCAATAGTCATACACATCTGAAACAACTGAGTGAAGTTGAACTAAAGTGAAACTGGAGAATCCAGTCCAAAGTGTCCAACCTCACAAATTGACCTCAAATGTCTGAAGGTTTGGGGTGACTCTCAGTATAGTGATAGAATAAAAGAAGACTGGGGGCTTTTTTTTCCCCCGGCAGGACCTAACGCAGCTCGGAGTGGATTCAAAATCAAAACAATACGTGTGCCTCTCGATTCTGTAAATCATGAGGAAGGACAAATCTTGCTCCAAAAACACCTGTTTGCTAATAGTATCAACTTACTTCCTACAGCAGACTGTCCCTCTTAACCTGTTGATCTCCACAGGGGGATACTGCCCGCATGGGAGTGCCGGGAGAGAAGGGGCCAAATGGACTTCCCGTGAGTATTGCAGTGTCGCTGCCATAAAGGAGGTGACTGAGCTGGGGGACAGAAGATCTGGTGTTTCCCACCTGAAGGCATTGCAAAGATTTAAGGCACTGGGTAATATTATCTTCCCATAACACCAAGGGAGAACAGTAACAGCGTGTCTAGACACAGTACATCATACAGACTGGAAACACATTTGGGATGTGTTAGCTGGGGAGAGGCAGATATCCTGGAAAGGAGTCGGGTCCAAAAGCTGTAGCCTGCATCCATAAAACAAGACCTAAAATAAAGAGGAAAATGTTAGGAGTATCATTAGGTACTTATCTGTCGACTGGGATTAGTTCTTGGGATGATGAATGAAACAGTAATTTTCCCCATCATTTGCGCACTGGAAAGTGTCTCCAATAGAAATGCCTTTATGTCTGCCACAGCTTTATGCAAATTTGGCCCTTCCTATGTTGAACCAGACAGGAAGCAGTGAATGTTATTCTGCACCAGATCTAGGTATTCTGACTTCAAATTTTGTTTGTGTTTTTTTATTCCAGGGATTACCTGGAAAAGCAGGTATCAAAGGCGCAAAGGGTGAACCAGTAAGTGAATGTTATTAATGATTAATTTTGTCTGGGAAAATACTAACTGGGTCACCCTAGCGCACTGCAACTTTAGGCTCCCATCGTGCAACACCAACAGTGCTGGAGTGGTCTCCTTGAAGTCTGTGCACTTGCATGAGTGCTTGCAAGAGTCAGGGCTTGCATTTCTTCTTGCATCTGATGTGTCTAGATTACCCAAATGCAGCGGGGATCCTACTGGCTTGACTCGAGCTGAAGTTTCAGCTATTCCTCGAAAGACATTTTAAAGATCTTTGAGGAAATGCAAAAGTAGGTGAATCTCCAGGGATTTAACATAAAGGTAAATACCAGAGAAAGGGAGCACGGGCAGGTTTAGCTCTGTGCAGATGCCACAAGACAGATGGTCCTTTAGATTGAATTCAAAGGACCCCAAAAGAGCCTCTGAGAACTGTGCCAGCGGCAGGATTTCGACCCTAATGATGACTTCTCTGCTGCCAAAGTCCCATGCTAAGGCAGATCCCCACTCAGTGTGTATAGCATGATGCTCCAAGGGAATCTATACTGAGAATCCCTTCAAGGTAAGCTACTGCACAGCTTTATGCAGCGTGTGTTGCCCCTGCCCCTGGAGTCACGAGGCTGGCCCTCAGCAACGTTGGATGAAGGAGGGTTTCAAACAGCCTATTACAAGGTGCTCGTCCTGTCTGTTCCTTCCTTTCAATTTTCTATCTCAGCATTTGCCTCTTCATAATTTCCTGGATACCAGGGTTACTAGTCCTCATGCTTCAGGGCACCTGCTGATTACTGGCTAGGCCAGGAGGCAGTTTCTTTAGACAGAGTGTGGTTTAATATAATGTATTGCAGGTCCCGGCATGTGGGCTAAAGCATGACTCTTCTGTAGAGGTCTACGTTATCTGGAGTCTTCTCTTTATAGTTTTCAAATGTGCTTTGTTATCTATAAATCCCCCCCAGCAAGACTTTAATTTCATCCTCTCTTTCCATCTGCTTCCTTGAGAAATGACAGTGGAGTTGTGTCCTCGCTGAGTGTTTGTGTCCCCTCCTACAGGGTAGCCCTGGAGAAATGGGAGAGGCAGGTCCGTCTGGCGAGCCAGGTATCCCTGTATGTATCTCATCGATTTTTTTTTGGATATCACAACCTCTGTGAATGCTTTTTAAATGACAGCACTAAGCTTCAGCTCACACGCTGCTTCTGTGGAGCGGCAGAGCTTGGAGTATCTGTAATAAGCACTTGTGTCTGTGAAATCTTTGATGTGACGTTTCTCTGGGCAGTGTGAGGTGGGTCGCAGGTCTATAGCAATGACCATGTACAGACACCATCTGCTGTACTGCAATGGGAAGAAGCAGGCCACACTAGGGCAGCTGTGTGTCTTAGTGAACAGCATATGGGACTGGGACTCAGGAGACCTGCTGGGGGCTTTTAGGCACGGCATTCACCTGTCTGTGCCTCAGTTTCCCTAGCTGTAAACAGCAGGGTGTTTACAATGGGCTCCTTTGTAAAGGGTTTTGAGATCTGCTTCCCAGTCAACAGCTAGGTCTTGCTGTTGTTTAAAGGTCAATGAACATGAAAGGTAAGCCATGTGTGATATGAGTGCAGCCTCTATGCAATGGGGCACGTCTACACAAGTCACTAAATGCGCAGTAGACAAATTCTACTATGCATTAGCACAGCCCGGCAAACACCATGCTAACACGCTAATGCACAGTTGAATTAGTTTACTGCACATTAGCATCACAAAAAAACTGCATCGGTGCTACTGAACAGTAGCACCAGTCCTGTGCATTCACTTAGTCCCTGTTATTACAGATACTAAACTTAATGCGCTGTAACCACGGTGCATTAATGACATGGTGTTGCAGTGGGGTTGGGAAGGCTGGAGTTGATGCCGAAGAACAGCACAATGACTTTTTGGTGGTGTTGACAGGGTGATCCCGGTATCCCCGGAGAGAGAGGCGAGTCTGGACCGCGAGGATCATCTGTAAGTAGGACGCTACTGCTTGAAAGTATTGTGTGGCCTGAAAACCCAGCCCTGTGATCAGAGGTGACATCCAGCTAAGCCAAAAAGCAGTGTGCCCTTCTGCTGTAGCATTGACAGCAGAGAGTTTAATCTGCAGGAGGTGGGCCCGATTCTGCTGTCTCCATTGCCTTCCACTACATGGAAGCAGCTTGAACCATCAGCACTTTCTGGATAACAAGAGACATTTCCCCCACTCCTTTCCTTAACACGACTGACCCTTAAGCCACTCCTATCATGCAAAGCAGGAAACCTTTCCTTTGATGTGCTGTTTTCCCTGTCCTTGTAGAAAATACTGAGAGCAAACCCTGGAACTGTACAGATCCCCTGCTGTAGTGACAGGCTTGATGTTGTGAACCCATATGTCAAAAGATTTACAAAAATGCTCCTTGCCCTCACTGTTATACCCATTTGGCCACACTGTGATGCAGAGCCAGGTTGGGCTGGTTGTTTTGGAGCAAGCTGCGTTTAGGGGATTTGTTTGCATCATAAAATTTGCCAAAAAAGCTTGAAAACCATTGAGTCTAGGGGCTTTCAGAAATTTGAGTCAATGGCTTGTGGGTCTGAGTCTCCCTTTCTAAAGGGACTTCTCAACAGTCGGGATGGCTCAGGCTCCACAGCCAGGAGCCCTGTGCAAAGCTTCGGTTTCAGGGCCCTCCTGCGATGTTGCCCTGCTAGCCTGTAACTTCGTGGCAGGGCTCCGAAGCGCCTGAGTTACTTTGAACACGGGACTTAGGCTCCTCGGTCACTTCAGGGCTTTTGCAGTGTTGCTCAAGGTTTAGGTGTGTGGCTTTTCCTCAGGGGATTATATCAGAGGTTCTCGAAAGGAAATGATCATTTTCTACCAGTCTTGTTAAAACACTGGGAGCAAACAGGAAACAGTTGCAGGTGCCGACTGTGCCATTTGCACGTATGTTGTGGCAGGGGGGGGAAGGCCAGGCTATCACATGCAAACGCACCCGCCGTGACATCTGCATGTGAGCATTTCACGGACCTCCTCCTACCTGCCTTTCAGAGGGGCTGCACAAGCCCCACAGCCCCTTTCTTTGAAAGCTGGCAGTGGGTTTTCAAAACTCCAGCCCACACAGCCTGTTTCCATAACTGCCAGTTTTCTGCCTAACTTCATCTGACAACTCAGAGTTGAAAAACAGTTCAGTGACTCAATTAACTTCCCCTGCATATAATTATGCCCACGTGATGAAGTTGTTTTGGAGTTCGAAGCAACTCCATCTACTGTTTCTTCTCCCTGAAACCCCTCCTTCCCAGCTAGAACAGGGCAGGGACAGCAAAGGCATTAAGCTGCAAAAGAGGAAAGTGGGCTGGGAATTGAGAACGTTGCAAAAGCATTTATCTTTGGCATCCAATTTTCCCCTGACTTTGAATGATCTCTCGAACAGCCAGTGCCAGAGAATAAAAATAACAACTGTTGAAATGCGTATTTTTTAAGATCTGATCCACTACACTTAAAGCAATTCAGAAATCTCCACGGGAGATGCATTCATCACAAAAGCACCATTTAGGTGGTTGTGAGTGGTGGGAACCCATCTCGTTTCAGTGGGTTTAATCGCATGCTTAAACGCCTTGTTGAACTGGAGTATGAGCAGACCGCGTTGAGGATGAATGGCAGGGCTGTGTTGGATAGACGAGACCGGTGATGACAAGGGTGTACGCGGAAAGCATCCATAGCACTTACCTCATACTTATCCCTAGGCATGGCCACTAGTCTCGTGCATTATTAATGAGCCTAAGCATTAAATACAACAGAAATAATCGTTGTCATTCCGGGTGACAACAGAAAGATCAATTAAGCAGTGCCATAGCAGCTGTTCAGCCTCAAGGCTGTTGGGAAGCCTGTTCTGGAGTATAGGTTTTGCAGGCTTCCTCCTCATCAAAACAAAACCAATTTAACTGTATTCATGACTTCATTGGGCTTGAACGATCTTTCTTAATGATTCTTATTCTTCTCTTTTGCAGGGAGCACTTGGCCTTCAAGGCCCAATGGGAGCCCCAGGTATCAGAGGCTTTCAGGTCAGTCAACTAGCAATTAAGGTAGTTTAATACACATCCTGTTAACAATAGGCTGGTGTTTTCCCTGCAAGCCTCTGGGAAGGATAATTGGGGGGGTAGTGACAAATTAGGACATAAATAGATTTCATTTAATCAGGATCCAGTTGCACCTTCAGTAATATGAGACAATAGGAAAAGAACAAGAGCAGCCAACAAGCCTATTGTGCCGCCTGTAGCAAATGAAGCCACATTCATCTAAGAGATGAAGAGGGAAGCTGCCTGACTACAGCTCATTCTTTACCTGAACAGTCCCAGCCCCACTGTCTTAAGTGTCCTTTCCCCTTTGTGACCCTGGGACCCTTTTTTTACCCCTAAGGAAGTAGGATGCAGGCACTGCCCAAAACTTCACTCAGGCTGGGGGCACAGTCCAAACTTGGCCTGGCATCACTATGTCCTCCAGGGGCATGATGAGGTGTGCAAGCTAGGCTGGAAGTCACTGTTGTTCTGGCAAAGTGCCTGGGCTGGAATCAGCTTCTCTGGCAAAAGCCCTGCGTTGCTGGAGTGAAGCTTGAGTGCTTCCCAAAGCCCAGGTTTGGGGTCCATTGCTTCCAACGCCATGGCTTTGTCCAGTCTGGATAAGCAACATCTGGCAATGAATGGGCTGAGGACCTCAGCGATGCTTCCTGCAGGAGGTAGGGCCGTAGAGGCAGTGCAGGGCAAGCAAGAATAATAAGCAGCTGGAAGAAGATGAGCTGTGCTGGGATCGGGGGCAGACGCAGGCTGATAGCCGTGCTTGGAAGAAGGGAGAAGAAAGAGACCCAGAGTTTGCAACTCTGCTCAGTAAAATGAAAAGCTGCACAGGCTCTTGTGACTGTGAGATGTCTGCCTTTTTTGTTCCCTCCAGGGACCCAAAGGTGCCAGCGGGGAACCTGGACTTCCTGGCCCGACTGGGATCCGTGGCGAGTCTGGCGAGAGGGTAAGGAAAGAAATTTCCCAAGGGGCCGGGTTTGCATCTGAAGCACAGGCTGCGGTCCCACTGTGTGCCTTTGGGTGCATCAAAGCGAAGCCTGGATTCGGATCCTGGAATCTGTGACTTGTCTGAGCAAGGCTGAAGGAGCAATGTTGAATGCCATATCACACAATATGTAGACAAATGAAAACTAAGGAGTGCAGGAGGTGCCAGACAAACCCCTGCCCCCATCGCTGCAGAGGAGCAGGGGCAAGAATCAGTTGTTACAGCTGTTGCTGCGGGGGTTGAGGTCAGTTGTTGGACGGCTTCGCTCCATGCCCAGCACCGAATGGACGTAGATGGAAAAGGCAGGGCTCCCAAGCAGTTTCTCATCTATATGTAAGAGGTGGCTACAACCAGGCTGGGGGCAGTGATGCATAGCACATACCTGATTCACCAAGCCATTAAGTCATCCCCATCCCAAGGCACTGCTCCTGTTACTCCCCCCACCTCTTCACTGATCTTCCCCAACCTTAGAAATCCATAGTTGCTTCCCTGAGGATGAGAGAACAAGGGACTTTCCTATCTGGCAAGTATTCTCCACGCTAGGTGCTGTGCCGGTCCTTATGGGGATGCTTCGGCAGAGGGGAGCTCTAGGTTGCTGCAGCCTTCTGCTATCGGGGTCTGTCGGCAGCATGCCCCTGCCTCTGCTGAGGTTAACGCAGAGACACATAGATTTCCTTGCGCTGCAGACGGTGCAGTAAAGCCCTCTGGCTGCACAGCGGGATTTCACCTTTCGGGGGTGTGGAGCCATTGCCCTTATACTGGACGACAAGAGCACAGCGACGCCGTCAGTGCAGCAGTCGCACCAGCTCACGTACCTGGGCTGGCAGACAGCGGAGGACGAGCAGCTGACTTTGTGCGTGGACTTGGCAGGGATGCCAGAAACTCTGAGAGCCTGATTTTTCCACCTGGCCTCTTGCTTTGCACTTTGCAGCCTGGGTTTTATGCCTGTAAGTGATTGTCGGTGCTGCAGTGGGCAAGCACAATTTTTAGAGGCTGAGCTCACCGACCTGCATGGATCCGGGTCATTGGCCTACCTCCATTTTACCCCCTGCAACTGCAGCTCACGGCAAAGACCTGGGGGCTCAGCACCCAGGCCCGAGTACCCCTGGGGTCCCAGGCGTTGGGGATTCAGTGCGCTGTCTGGTCCTTTTGCCTGGGCTGCTGCAGGGTTGTTTCTTGCCTGGTGTTTTATGCTAAAATGAAGAGTGTTGCAATGTGGGCAGTGCATCTAGCACTGGACTGATTGCTAGCCCCTCACCATGAACAGTCCTGCATTAGGGCTGAGCCCTGCCCTAGCAGCACTGCATTGCAAAAAGCCCCTCAGACCAGGCTGCTGGGGAGGGAGGTGCGCTCTTCTCTCATGCTGGTGTCTCGGAGGATTTGTGGTTCAGTGGTTACAGCTTGATTGGAGTCCATGCTCTAGCGTAGACTTCCTGGGTGATCTTGAGCAAATTAGGGTGTCTGTGCCTTGGATTCTGACCTAGAAGATGGGGTAAAATGGCAAAGTCTGCTCAAAGGAGCAATGTCAGGATAAAGACAGGGAAGCTGGCCAAGCGCTGGGATGCTACGAAGCGGGGACCTCGAACGTAAGGACCCCGGACATGGCAGCAGTTCTCCGGTCATATGGCGCCTTCCCATCTAGGCTTCAGTTGCCTGCAAACCCAAACCGCAGCTGTAGGCTTGTGAGAGCCGGCTTCTGCAGGGAGCGTCCCACGAGCCAGGCTTTCCCGGTGTGTGTTTGGTTAACGTAAAAAGCCCGACTGAAGGATTTAGAGCAGAAAAAAGGGGTGGGAATCATGAGCTGGTGAGTGTTTCCACCGCTCCACCCAAGTCCCTAGACATCCGGCTCTGTTGAGACTGGAGGGCTCATTTCAGAGCGCTCTCCGGACCGTACCCCAGACAGGTGGGCCGTGGCCTTGATAGTCTTCCATGCAGATTGCATTGACATGCAGGGTCCCTAGGTGTGCAGGAGAGTTGCATTTGACTGACTAAATGATTGAGATGCTTGTTTAGGATTTTTTGCCCCCCTTTTGACATTTTTCTCAGTATTTCCCCTCCTTCCCTTTAAAAAATGGGACCTTCCTGAGCTCTGGAAGGCCAGAATTTAAGGAGAAATCCAGTTGTTTGATGTCAAGCACTTCCTTTTCATCTAGAAGAAGCCAGCATTGGCTGCTGAGGGGTTGCAAGGGAACAGTGGCCGTGTGTTAAGTCAAGTCTCTGTGTAAACAGTCTCCCGGGTGTACCAGGGCTTGCACAATGGGCTTTCTGTGCACGGCCAGGAGGAGCCTTGGGTTAAGTCAGGTTACAGAGCGCTTCTGAGTTGCAGAAACTGTGCGTCTACAAGCTAGCACAGTGACGATATTATAGAGCCAACGTGTACTGCACGGATGCAGACTGATGCTGCAAGGGAAAGGTATGCTCCGAGAGAAAGATGCCCCGTAAAACTAAATCCCCATATCAAGAAGCAAACGGAGAACAAGGTGCCGTCAAAAAGTGTAGCAAGCCCCTCGACTCCCTGCTCCCATCACAGTGAAGTAGGAGCTGTGGGGATCTACTTGTTTTTCCTTAGATCACCTGGTTTTTTTCTCAGGAGCGGGGGGGTCCCAGCCTCCAGGACAGCGGGTCAAGACCTGGAAAGATTGTTAGCTACAAAACCTAAGGTTTTAAGATGGGAAAGTCCAGGGGAACTGAGAGCCCTCATCTCACTGTCATTTCTGGGCCAGTCCTAATTGTGTCTTGAAAATCCCAGCTCCTCACATACAACCAGTGGTTCCCAAACGTAAATGTTGATTGCTAGGTCAGAAAACCCCAGAGCATTAGCAGCCACGTCGGGCTGACTACAGGAGATAGGCCCAACACTATGGCACTAGACTATAGTTTCTCAACCTGTGGTATGTGTACCCCTGCGGGTACACGAGACAGGCAGGGGGTACGCGGGTACCCT